TCCTCTTCCTTTCTTTCTTTTTTTTTCTTCTTCTTCTTTCGTACGATTACAACGAGCACTATCGGTGTGCACGGAGAAAATTCGAGTGAAAGGAAAGAAGCAGGTGCTCGATGCCTTTGCGGAAGGTCAAGCGCCCTCTGAGCCAGACAATGAAGCCCTCTTCGACCTGTATGTCCGGTCCCCGGTGTGCACTCTGAATTATTTCTTCGGGCATTCGAGGTGTGCACTCCTTCCCTAGGAATTTATTGGATAGCGATGAATGATGGGTATTGTCTCTTAGTTTAGTGGAAGTCGAGATGGTTTTGAAAGGATGGCTACTGATGGTGGATGCTGAACATTATTTTAGACAGATGTAGATGACTTATAAGAACGTTTGGGATGTTGTATTCCATGTATCTCTTTTCGTATTGATAGGTTTTCGTTGGAAAATTAGAGGATAGTTTTATCGTAAGAGAAATTATCTATAAGATAATTGGAATACGTTTTAATCAACAAATTGAAATTCTGATAATTTAATATCTTTATTCCTGCTCAAGTTATTTCCATCACTTTTATCACACGTGTGTAATCATTAACACTATCGAGCGTTTTTTAAAAAATTTCCTTTTGTCCAATTTTCTAAATAATTCCATCAGAATTCCTTCGTTCTCCGATTCGTACGAAAAAAAAAAAAAAAGAAAAAAACAAATACGAATCTACAATTGTTCCAACTGGAGCATCCGACCTCGTCTCTCGTGGATCGTGATGTTTTTCAGAAAGCAGAGAAATCCACGCCCTTGCGACGGGGTACGCTTGGCCGACGAATAAATCAACGATTTCAAATACACACTCTCGACTCGAACTATATTTCCAGGGTGGTGGAGGGGTGGCCGACGTCTCGGCTCGGAAACGGGGTTGAAAACATTTTGGTTGGCAAGATGCAGCTCGATCTCAGACCCATGGTGGCACGGTCGATACCGAGCCACGGAGGGTGCACACCCCCGAAACAGTGTCTACGTCGCTGGAACACGTGACTAATACCGGGGATGTCCAGTCGGATATGGATAAGATAGATCGTTTATGCACAGGGTGTCCGATTTTAACGCTGAAACTATCGTCAAACTATCGATCTATAAATATATGTATATATATAGAACAGATATTAGAATACTAGTGGAATGATCAGAATGTAATAAAAAATGGTAGAATGAAAATAATAGAATAATAGACAGGTGTCAGATTTTTTTGTATGGTAAAATGTGCAATTGGTGTGGATATGATAAATCGTTTGTGTATAGGGTGTCTTGTTCGATTTTAACTATAAAAATTGTCAAATTGACAAGTCTCAGATTTTTTTATGATTAATCCATCGTGCGAATTAACTGGAAGATGAATAAAAAGTTTTCGGATATTAAGAAATTCGTAAATAATGAAACAATTATAATACATCTGAAAATTAAATAATTTTCGAATATGAACGTAAAAATTAATTAAATTATCATGTTTTTTTTTTAATTGAAAGTAAATTCACATTACATATATTATTATATATAAAATATCTTAACTCGTATTTAACAGTTTTGAAGAAATTTTATCTATATTTAAAATATGTTTAAAATGTTTCTATATTACCTTTGAAAATGGTTATTAAATGGAAAATATCCGAGGATAAAGGATTTTATATTTAAAAAAGCGATTAAAATTTCAGAATGAATTTTGAACCAATTATTAAAAAAAATTTGATGGTTAACAGAAAGATTAGCAAAAAAAAAAAAATGTTTACGTGAAAAGAATATTCACAAATCACCGTTTCAAGCGATAAGCTCTTTAGAAAAAAAAAAAAAAAGAAAGAAAAAGAAAAAAGAGAACTCGTTTCACAGGTTTTTCTGGGTCGAATACCATTTCACGCGAAGGAAAACGTTTTGGGACATCCTGTTATAATTTTCAGTCTGACAAGCTTAAAACAGCGATGCACATCCGTATGAATTCTGTCTAACTTTCTTCTATACAGGGACTGATTCTATTCAATATGTGGATACATTTTAGGTGATAAAAGTACGTGGGCTATGCGACTTTCACAAGTTCATTACAGTTTAAAACAATGAGAGAACGTATCGCTGATTTGCTATAATATAATTCAAAAATTAAGATAAGAGTAAGAATATCAAATCGAAAAAATATATATATGAACAGTAATCATTAATTAGAAAATCGATAAATTTTGAATTGCATTTTGAACATCAACTTTATTGATTTTTAATCCCCTTTATAAAATTTCAAAATAAACAATATCAGTTGATGCGGTTAATAATTATTGTCAAAGAATAATTTAACTTTTCGATTGCAAAAGAAATTCAACTTGAAACATAAAAATTTAGAAATTTGGAAACACGAAATTCACGACACATTAAAATTTGTGACACGTTAAACACGTTTTAACTTCTCAATATCTCGAAAAAAAATACCATATTTTTATTCGCAACAAAAATTCCCAACAAAAATCGTTCCTGGCACGTTTATACATATCCATTTCACGCACAATATTTCTTCTCTTTGGCTCGAACCGGTGTTCCAAAAATATGTCAACGCGCACGCCCACTTATTCAGGAACAAACTGTTCGATTCTATTTACCACCACTCGCCTATGCATCTCGCCACATGTTTCACCTAACGTTCTTTCCTCAACCGAGCGCTTAATTCATTTGCCCCCCTCCTTCGATCTCACCATTACATGCAAATCTTCTCTCTAATGAATTATTTAAACGTACATGCCCCTCTCTTTCTCATCGTCTCTTGTGATGCACACACGCACTGCGATGTTCTTCGTGTTTCAGTTCGTCGAACCGTGATGTCTTTTTGGAAAGGGGTTGCAATTTTAGAGTTTACCATCATGCGTGATTTTCTATGAAAATTTTCCTCTTCTACGATTTTTTTGTAGCAACGTTAGGATTTTTTATTTTTTAAAAAGAAGGAAAAAACGTGGAGACAATTCGTTTTCGTTGATTTTTCGCTATGAAAATTTTTTAATTACAAATAAGTGTGATTTTTGGTAGTTTTTTAAAATATAATTCAAAACATAAAATGCTGTGAACAACGAATATGAATAATATGAGAATGTTATAATGTGATATTATGATATGAAGTAGATATAAAAAAAGAAAATAAATAGAAGTTTTGTTTAACAATGAAAATCTAAAACTTTAGTTGAATAATAGAATAATTTCAACGCGTCTAGAATAGATACAGTATGTTAAATTTAGAAATAATTTGAGAAAAAATAATTATTTCTTTTATGAATTTACACATAAAAACTATCATTTTGTTTCTAGTCATTGTATTTATCCTTTCATAAGGATTTATCAGGTTTACTAGATCGTATCAGGTTTATTAGATCTTTATTTTGTATCGATTGACGAATTTATCGTCTGTAAATACGTAGGTTTCATTCTTATTGGTTCCCCGTTCGAAGGTAGTTGCTTTCAGAGTTCCTTCTAGATTATTCGTTCTGGAACGATCACAATGAACAGCATGTGCGCCAAAGAAATCGATAACTCGAGCCGCGATCGGGTGACACGTGTTTTCGAGAAATTGTGTCCTCTATAAGCATAGAGTTTTTGCGACTCGTTCTTATTTCCTTTTTTCAATCCTCTTCTTACTTCATCTTTCAAATTGAGATTTTAAATTTTTGTGTTTGTCGGATTTTGATTGAGTTACGTGCAATTTGAAACAAGTGTTAAAAAATTACCACATCTTCAAAAATTAAGGTTTCCATTAGAATTTATTTTTAAATGTCTTTTAGAATAATTCACAGTTGCAAAAAAAAGAATATTGTGAAGTAGACAAGAATTAAAATGTTTTTGGTAACTTTGAGTAATTTTATGATATCTTATATGAAAAATAGTAAAAACTGAAATGTTGCATATATCAATGAAAATATATCCTTTATGAAGTTATGTAATAAATCAGTAATATTTTATTATAGTAACTTTTTATATATGGTGATATTATAGAATTCCAGTTCGTTTTCTTCGAAAATTAAATGTTAAATAACGCAAAATAAATTTGACTTTAATTTAATCATTACGCCAATTCATCTTTCATATCTAAAAACATCAGATAAAAAACAAAATTATCGATTAAAAAATTTTATCCTTTTTCGAAAGTGATTGTTATTTTATCATTGTTACTTTTATTATTATTAATATATAAAAAAAAAACTTCTCCGTATTCGTACACATCAACAAACCATAAAATATTAAAATTCTACAATATCAAAAGGAACACTCAACTAATACATTTGTTTAAAAATATATTTAAAAATACTAGTTCGTGTTTGCCTTTAAAACGATACTACATACATATCCCAATAATTTTCCATTGACACGTGAACAAATATACGTATCAAAATATTATAAATCTGTAAAAAATAAACATATACAAATACATCTACACTTAAAAACTATGTATAAAACCAATAATAACACCTATTGTTTTCTTTAAAGCTCGCGATATTATTAATAAGAACAACAATCTCTGATATCTTAATCTGCGGTCATGAAATTCAAATTCCTTGCTTTATTTGCAACAGAATCCCAATCTGTAAGTGGCTTAATAAAAGCGATACAATAACCGAATCAAAACAAAACGATAACTCAAAGACCGGATACTAAACTCATCTTTTTCCTTGAGAATTTTTTTCTCTTCCATTTTTCTCAATCATGTATCACATTTATAATTTTCATTTTAGGGAAAAAGAGAATTAACGTTCGTTTAACAAGCGATAATAACGTTACGATAAATGATGTTTGTTGGAATTGTGTGAAAAATTAAAAAAAAAAAAAAAAAAAAAAAAAAGGAAAAGTAATCGATCTGGGTCACGGTTGTTTTCGCGGATGTTACGAAAAAAAAAAAAAATCCGAGGTAAACACGGGAAAACGCGCTAGATGGATAAGCTGCAAAAATCTGTGTGTTTACGTGGAACGTGACGAATTAATTCTAAACTTTTCTTCCCTTTTATACAGTTGCCATGGAAATGAGAACCGACATGCCGCGAAACACGAAAAGCGTCCGTCACAGAAGCTCGAAACCTCCTGGCCATTTTCCTTGTAAGTCCAAACAAAGTTACTTTGAAAAGTTGCTTGCTCCATCGTTTGTTCAATCAAGTAGTTCAGTCGTTTTAAATCGCTATTCGGCTTCATCATCGGGCGGGAAAATTTCAAACGAAATATATCGCGGAATGGGGACTTAATACGTGCGTGGAATGTTTTGCAAGGATCTGACTCACGAGGAGCATGGAAGATGGGAGTGTTTCTTCTACGATAAACTGGGTGCAAAGTAAATATTTCGTATTAAAATAGTCGAAGTTTTAAGCTGACGAGTTAATCTCTTGATTGATTTTGTGCAAAGACGTGGGGTGATGATTTTTGTTAGAATTGCAATAAATTTTGGCTGATTGTTGATCTGATACTGTTGAAGACGTTTCTAACTTTTTAATAATATTAATAATTATCGATATTAAAGTAACGAGGATAATATCAGTAAATCTGTAAATTTTTAAGTAATACAATTAATAACTCGATTCAATAAGAGTAATAGAACTATCATTCTTTAAATATATCATTGACGATCAATGGTTAATCATTACCAAAATTTGAAAACGTTATCTGTTACATTTACAATTTCCAATAATCAGAGAAACATCTCTCCACGAAGAAGCACGAAATTCGAACGTTCTTACACGTTATTATTATCCCTACGATAAATCTACAGAAAGATATTCACGTATCAATTCCATTCCATTAAAAAGATATCACAAAGATATGAATCCGATAAAAACAATATATATATATATTACGAATCATCTCTCACAAATTATCTTTCAAAATCAACAACTGCTCCTCCATCATCCACGTGCCAATTGTCCTTCCTCGAATTTCAATTTCCTTTAAAAAAAAAAAAAAAAATTCAACGAATTTCACTTTTATTGTACGATCGATCGAATATCCCTTTCAAAAAGAATCCATCCATTATTTTTTCCGTGGAAAACGAAATTTCAAAAGGGCACGCGTCATCCATTCCTTGGATGGAAATTCCTATCGCATAACTCGCCCCGGCTTGACGCCATTTTTACGGTCAATATTTCCCCGCTAGACTAGATGTCACCCCTTGCCTGGCCACCCTCACCCCTTCGAACTTGCGCCACCCTCCACGCGATAGCGCCACTGGCATGTTTCCAATTTTCACGAGGCGGGTCGCCTCCTTTGTTCATCGCGCTCTGTCTGCTTTCTTGCACCCTCGTTTCGCCTCGATAAATTTATTTCGCCACCGATCGCCTCCGCGCCACCTTTCCAACCGTTCTGTGCCTCGATCCACTGAGTTTTGCCCCGCGAGAAAGATTGATGAAAAATAAAAGTAAAGCCTGAAAACCGGGTCACTTTGACACGGTATAACTGATACGTTATACCACGAGGTGACGCGAATCGGTAACGTTAGGATTGGTTACGTAATTCTTGAATGGATTCCATTTTCGCGAATTTTTGTGCGAAATGGAATGTTGCTGCTTTTGTATGTATGATTTTTTTTTTTTCTTTTTTGGAGCAAAGTTTATCGGTTTATTTGGAAATTTTCTGTGAGATTTTATGGTCGAATAGGATTCTTTTTCTTTTTTATTTAATCTTGAGAGTTATACTTGAAATTCGTGCGTTGAAGAGATATTCAACAATTTGATTGTTGAATATTAGATGATTATTATTTTTAAAGTTAAGTGTATAATAATGATGATAGTAAAATAAGTATTAATAATGTAAGAATATTTAATTTGGTGATTTTTGAAGATTCTATATAATAATTATTATTAATATCAGAAATATTTTGATTCTTCAATTATAATTTTCTTCAATTATAAAAATAAATAAATAAATGGCAGTGTTTCGTTTACAATTCTTTTCTTTTGGAAAAAATTCACTGGTAATCCAACGTACGATTCAATCCATTTTATACCTAATTTCGTTTTCGGCGAAATGTTTACAAAATAAATGTTAATTTAATTCAATGCTCTAATAATGTATTGCTGAGCGGATAAGTGGTTATGTCTCAATATTTCATCGTTATATCATCGGAAATTGTATCCGATTTGCATATATGTGTACATAGATGTTACGCAAAGAAGCGCTTATGGAATTGATGATGTAACGTGGATAATTTTATCTCCCATTTACTAAAATTAATCAGATCAAAAGTTTGGACCATTCGATCACAAATTACAGAGAATATTTCTTTATACGATATTTTGGAAATTTTTCAATTCAAATGTACCATCAGTTCGAATATTGTATTTGCAATTTGTAACCTTCGAATTATTGTTACAATTCATGCTTCTTCAATCAGAATTTTCAGATAGTTTGTTTTTAGAAAGTTGATTTTCTTTTCAATTTAATCCTTAATCCTAATAACACTTATGGTTCTAAGTGAATCGAATTTTCGTTTTCAAAAATAAACATCTAATTTCACAAAATAAATGGAATAAGAAAGATAATTCATCGTGATGTTTCTCTAGATTTAACATATAATTTTAAATATTTCAATCAATTCGTAATAATTAAATTTTTGTAAATTTCTCGACACGATAAGGTTCTTAAAGATAAAAAAAAAAAAAAACAAGATAACATAATCCAGATAAATCTTATTAAATCCAACGAGACTGTTCAAGAGAACGCGTTAAACGTTAAAAAATCACCTTCCCATAAATCAGCGAAAGCGTGAAATATCACGCCTATCCTCTACGATCAATCAAACAGAATTTTAATCGATCGCGGGAAAAGGCAAGGATCCGACCCCTCTGGATAAATTTTGATAGTCCTCGACAAATCGTGGGCGCGCTTGACCTTAACACTGATTGGTCGATACCTTAAAATAGCCGTGGCCGGGTATCTGATAACGGGATTTATTTATAAATCTGACTCAACATTTTCGCGCGCCACGTTTCTTCCTCGTCATCGCGTACAGGAATTCGCTACTGTTAATCGTTTCGACGTTAATTCCCCCTCCCCATTGTCCTCGTAATCGAGAGTCTCTGGAACAGGGCAATGGGAGAACATTTTTATTGATTTATCGATCCGTAACCGCACAGAGAGAAACGAGACGAAAAACGAAACAGAAGTGGTGGAAAAATATGGGGTGGAAATTGAGTGATCAGATAAGGGGAACTCTTTGATGCTGTCTCTTTAAATCTTTTCTTTTTTTTTTTCTTTTTTTTTTATCGAAAATGGACGTTCCTCTGCACAGCGCCCTTGGGAAATTAACGCCTTTTCGCGATGAATGGCGAATGGGACGAGCGAATGTACCCCTTGCGCCTATAATTGGAGCAAGAAAGCCGATGATTCTCGTTGCCTTTGCGCTTCCATTGTTATTTAAGTCAATGGAGCGGAACGAGAGCCCACTCGATGGTAGACAAAAGAAAATTTCTGTTCGACCAGACGGATACACTTGTCCAACATCCAACGTTCGATGGTCACTCTCGGTTTCGCGACATAATTATAGAAGTGGGTCCTTTTCGTTGTTCTCCATTGTCAATTTTGGAATCTTCGATATTTCATTCGGGCGAGATATTCGAGTTATTCGAGTTATTGGGAGGAGAGTGAAGGAATTTTATTCGTTCGAGGGTTCTACGAAGGTGCTCGAAGGGTCGAGAATATAAGAGGAATGTAATGCTTTCGATTGACGCAAAGAAATCTTTGTAGTATAATCAATTTCTCTCGATTAAAACTCTTGATTCAAAAACATCCGTTTAATCGTAATGTTTAATTTTATTTTCTAATCTGTCCAACAACTCCTCGCTACCAGAATCTTTTAAAAATTCTAATCACTGATAAGAGTTAGAAGAAGTTAAACGAATATACATTTATGATATTGTTGTTGACGAATATCGATAAACATAAAGTCTTACAATATTAAATGTAAGATCGATCACGAATAATTTCTCTTCAACAACAAAGTATACTTTCTTGCACAACGAAAAAAAAAAAAAAACGATACTCCCGAGTAAAATTGATCGATAATAAATTCTCCCTTCCCCTCCTCCCCGAAAAAACATCCCTAACCCGCCAATGGAACCGAAAATCCATCAATCATCCCAAACATCCGAAGAAAAAAAGAAAAAATGAAAAAGAGGAGAAAAAAACAAAACCCTGTCAAAACCACACGACGCCTCTTCTCGTAATCGAGGACCTCGACCTTCCTCCATTCGTCGATGCCTGTGCCATCTCTCCCCGGCGGCGAAAAGAAAGCGCACGAGGGAGGAAAATCGAGGGGATCGAGTTTGCGCAGTCGCGGAGCAGCTCGGGGGCGGCAGTCGTCGCTGAGAGCGACGAGTTTCTCGCCGCGTGTACACGTATATATCAGGCGGGAGGAGAGTTGCTCGTCCAGGATCATAATCGGTCGAGAGGAACGGACACACGCGCGCGCGCGCGCGTGAATCGAAGTGGCTCGCCTAAGCAGGATTCTTTAAAACGATCCTCGAGAATCCATCATCCGGAAAAAGAAAGAAGAAAAGAGAAGGCACCCCTCGATCTTCCTCTCGTCGATCGTCGCCCATAGATTTCGAGATTTAATGGCGGCCAACGACGCTCGATCCGAAGTGATTCCTCGACCAGTCATGAGATGGACGTGAGGGGATCCTCGATCAACTGGACCGGCGATCATCTTCCATCGGGCAGAATATTGTTCGCAATCTCTGGTGCATCGATCGCGGGCTTCCGGGAGCGGCCTCCTGAAAGGGAGCCCGCTTCCCCGATCGATCCTTGAATATGACCTTCGAGTCACGTGTGCCGCGCCGCGACACGCAAGTCACCGATACGAGTGATTCGCGAGGCGGACCGGCCATCGATCACGGAAAGAATCGCGCGCCGCGGCGGACTTTTCGACATTGACGCGGGATATTCGGGAAGGATACACTGCCACTACGGGGGAGAAAGAGAGGCGTTCGAATCGATACGAGGGAAGGAAGGAAGGAAGGAAGGTGACCATCCGTGTGAATCTTCGAAACGAGTCTCCATGAAGGGGATGAAGTGATTCTCGGATGTTGTAGATGTTGGTGCGGCGAGTGAAC